CTTGAACAAAATGGATAAAATCCTAGAAAAATAAAATTTTCCAAAATGCAATTAGGAAGAATTAGAAAACCTGAATAGGCTAATAACAACTGATGAAATTTAAGCAGTATTTAAAAAACTCTCGGCAGCTGAAACCGGTTTGGCTCAGTGAATAGAGCATCGATTTGGGGACTGAAGGGTCCCGGGTTCGATTCTGGTCAAGGGCATGTACCTTGGTTGCGGGCAATATCCCCAGTAGGGGGTGTGCAAGAGGCAGCTGATCGATGACTCTCTCTCATCGATGTTTCTAACTCTGTATCTCTCTCCCTTTCTCTCTGTACAAAATCAATAAAATACATTAAAAAAATAATAATAAATAAATAAATAAATAAAATAAAAAACTCTCAGCAAACATCTGGTCCTGAAGCCTTCACGAGAGAGTTCTACCAAACAGTCAAAAAGGAACTAAAGCCTCTCCTCCTCAAATTATTCCAGAAAATCCAAGAGGAAGGAACACTTCCAAGCTCTTTTTATGAGATCAGCATTTTTCTAGTTTCAAAACCAGATAAAGACACTACAAAGAAAGAGACTTACAGGCCAATATCCCTGATGAACATAGATGGTAAAAACCTCAACATAATATTAGGAAATCAGATCCAGCAATATATTTAAAAGGTTAAACACCAAGACCAAGTGGGATTTATTCCAGGGATGCAAAGCTTATAAATTCAAAAATCAATAAATGTGATACATCACATAAACAAAAGACAAAAATCACATGACCATACCAATAGATGCAGAAAAAGCATGTGATAAAATCTAGGAACCATTTTTGATAAGAACGTTTAGCAAAGTCAGAATAGAGTATTTAACAAGCCTACAACCAAAACCATTCTCCCAAGAATAGGAACAAGACACTTTCACCACTCTTATTCAATATAGTACTGGGATTCCTAGGCACAGCGATAAGAGAAGAAGAAAAAATTTAAGACACCCAAATCCGTAAGTAGGAAGTAAAAGTGTCATTATTTGAGATGACATGATATTGTAGGTAGAAAACTGTAAGGACTCTACCAAAAACCTACAAGATTTAACAAATGAATTTGGCAGTATAGCAGAATACAAAATTAACACCCAGAAATTGATGGCATTTTTATACACTAATAATGATCTCTCAGAAAGGGAAACTAAAAAGAAAAAAAATCCATTTGCCATTGCAACAAAAAAGTTAAGATTTTTAAGAATAAACTTAAGCAAGGAGATAAAAGACCTGTACTCAAAAAAATTACACAATGATGAAAAAAGAAGTAGAGAAAGATATAAACAAATGGAAAAATATACTATGTTCATGGATTGGTAGAATTAACATCATAAAAATCTAAAGCAATATATAGATTCAATGCAATTCCCATTAAAATACCAATGGCATATTTCACAGATCTAGAACAAAACTCAAAAAATTAATATGGAATAAAAAAAGACCCCAAATACCTGCAGCCATCTTAGAAAGAACAAAATTGGAGGGATCACAATACCAGATATCAAGTTAAATTACAAAGCCACTGTACTCAAATCATCTTGGTACTGGCACTGTGGAATAGAACAGAGAACCCAGAAATTGATCCAGGCCATTATGCTCAATTAATATTTGACAAAGGAGATAGGAGCATGCAATGGAGTCAAAACAATCTCTTCAGTACACAATGTTGGGAAAATTGGACAGATACGTGCAAAAAAAAAAAAAATGAAACTAGACCACCAAATTACATCATACACAAGAATAAACTCAAAATAGATAAAAAACTTAAATGTAAGTCGTGATACCATAAAAACCCTAGAAGAAACCATTGACAGCAAAATCTCATACATCTCTCATAACAATATGCTTACAGATACATTTCCTAGGGCAAAGGAAACTAAGAAGAAAATAAACATATGGGACTACATCAAAATAAAAAGCTTCTACACAGAAACAAAATTAAAATATGTATGAGAGAACATATTTGCCAATGATACATCTGATAAGAGATTAATTTCCAAAATATATAAAGTATTCATACAACTCAACAAAAAGGATGGCAATCCAATTAAAAAATGCAGAAGACCTGAATAGAGGCTTCTCCAATGAGGACATAAAAATGGCCAAGAGACATATGAAAAAATGTTCAAAGTCACTAATCATCAGAGAGGTGCAAATTAAAATGACAATGAGGTACCATTTCACACCTGCCACAATGGTTTTTTCATTAAATCAACCAACAACCAGTGCTAGGAAAGATGTGGAGAAATAGGAACCCTAGTACACTGCTGGTGGAATGCAGACTAGTATAGCCATTGTGGAAAACATGGAGTTTCTCAAAAAATTAAGAGTAGAATTGCCATTTAACTCAGTGATCCCATTTCTAGAAATATATCCTAGGAAACCTGAAATACCAATCAGAAAGAATGTATGCAGCCATGTGTTCATAGCAGCACAATTTATAATAGCTAAGTTCTGGAAACAGCCCAATTGTCCATCAATAGATGAATGGGTTAAAAAGTTGTGGTACATTTACAAATGGAATAGAATACTATGCCGCTGTAAAAATGAAAGCTATCTTACCCTTTGAGACACCATGGACGGACCTGGAAGGAATTATGGATCCAGTCTGAGAAAAACAAGCATCACATATCTCACTTACATGTGTAATCTATGAACAAAATAAACTGACAACAAAATAGATCCAGAGACATTGAAGCACATCTGATGTATTTCAGAGGGAAGGGTATGAGGGGTGGATGGAAGAGATTAACCAAAAAATTTATATGCATAATCCATGGACACAACAATTGTACAGTGAAGGCCTGGGAAGGAGGCACAAGAGGGGTGGAGAGGGTCAGTGGGTGAAAAAAGTGGGGCATCTGAAGTACTTTCAATAATAAAAATAAATTTAAATAAACGTCTCCAACTTGGTCTCCCCAAATAGTTGCCTTTGAAGTTTAAAACTCATATACCTTCTAAGTCATATAAATGGTACAAACATGTATTTAACTTAAATTTTAAAGTTCTGAGTCCCTAAGGTTTCTTAATAAAAATCAATATAGCTAACATTTCATTGTTTACTTTATGCAAGACTATGCTAATCATTCTTCATTCTTAATGTCATTGAATCTTCCCTATAACCAAGTGAGGTGGGTACAGCTATTATTTACATTTTGCAGATGAGGAAATTAAAGTTTAGTGAGGTTAACAGCTTGCCATGGATTTCATAGCTAGTACAGGCTGGTGCCAGGTAGAACCAAGGACGTTTCCTGTTAGTCTCTGTGCTCATCAGTTCAAGGCATCATGCAGCTCACTGCCTCCTACAGTGGTAGGCATGGGCATTAGTAGTTTTCAGATGTAATAACTATTTCAAGGTAAAACCATTGGGCCCGATTTCACCTGGAATCCACACATTCAAATTACAATAAACCCCCAATTTGGTGGACCTTGCTTTAACAGACTTCTGATTTAACAGACAAAACCTGTGGTCCATATGTCATATGTAAAAATTAATACCCTGTTAATTTTAAAATGCTTGTAACCAAGATTTGCTTATAAGTAAATTAACAGGGTTTTTTTTTTTGTTATCAATTCACCATTATTTTTAACAAATTTTAGCAAATAGGCTATACGTTGGAAAAAGTTCTGTAGTAAGTTTGCCGAAAAAAATATTACATATGTACAGCTATTGTCTACATATTTAATTCCAATAGTCACTTTAAAAAACAATGTTGGGCAAATTATTAGCACGTGATCACATTGAATTGCAAGGGGTAATTGTTCTTTTGTTGCGTGGATGAACTTTCTGCAGCAGTTTTAACACATGTGCCCCCTCCCGACATGGTCTCCTGTGCATGAAGCCACACCCAGCTATGTGCATTTGTTTACTCACAGTAACATGTGAATGCACCCATTTTCTAGACCTGTTCAATATGAATTTAAAATTACAGGGATACATATAGAAACCTTTTCTGTGAAATAAAACTTTCCATACATACTTAATTTTAATTACACAAATGTGTCTACAAAAGTAAAAATTTGTCAGATTTTTTAATATATGCATTCAGAAAACCTACTTTATTACATAACAGACTTCTGGCTTTAACATGCCAGAATTAGTCCATTATATTGAGGTTTTATTATACAGGTGATAATACAAAATTAGCTCCTCAAATCGCATAGACATGTAAATGAAAAAGAACCCAATCTGATGAGAGATTTTATGAGAATGAAGCGCTGTGAGAGAAGTTGGAAATCCTATGGGGAAGGGGAGGGTGCTTGCCTTTTGTGTACATGTATATAGTTTGAAAAGCTCATTAAATTGATAGTGTCTTAGGGCATTCCACAACATAGTTTTAAAAGTTGAATTTTAAAATTTCTTAGTCTTACAAAAACTATATTGTTCTCTTTTCCTTTTGTTTCTCAAGTGAACTGTTAGTCTAGGAAGTCCTATTTGTGTAATGATTTAAGGGGGGTGCACAATTTTTATGCTAAATAATTATCAATATGGTTTATTAAGGATTCTATGGTTTATGAGATGGTTGACCAAATTCCACATACTCAAATGTAGCCTGTCATAATTAAAATACTCTTGTTTAATGCCCTAGTCAAGCTAAATGATAATGAGGAACAAAGCTAACCAAAATCAGGACACCGGATATCAGATTTCCTGAAGTAAAAAGCCTTTGTGCAGCAAGGAACCTAAGCTTTCGCTTCTTATCCTTTTAGTGCAAATAAACTAAGCTTTATTGGGCTCTGTGCTAATTAACAATGAAAGGTTTGAGAAACAGATCCGCTGTGGAGCCTCACATTCCATAAATAAGCACACTGAGCAGTTGGTGCTGGCCCCTTAGGCAGCCCACATAGGTGCTGGTATGCCCCTCAAAAGGACAGCATTTCTGAGAGAGACACAACGAAGTGCAGATTCCACAGGGCTGGTGCAAGAAGAGGGAGAAAAATACCCGGCAACTGTCTTGTCATCCTGCTTTCCTACTGCAAGGAGGCAGAAGGATGAGGTTCTTAAGAAATGTCACTGCAACCAGATCCAGGGGTGCAGCCTGGCTCACTGCAGCACACCGCAGCTGCCTGTGCATCAGGGACAGACACAAGGGAAAGCAGCCGCCAGCCGGCACAGAGCTGGTCACTGGGAGCATTTCTGAGCTGAGGATCTGTAGACGCTTGGAAATTCCTCCTACAGCTGAGTCAGGGGCCCAGTGAGCTGGGGCTCAGGTCCAGGCTGTAACAGGAGGCGGTGCTCCCAGCCCACCTCTCACCCTACCGCGCTGGGGAGAGCTGGGAACGAGGCTGCTCACAGGGTTAGGGGGGCCAGCCCCCCGGGACCCTCCTCCCTGGGGAAAACAATCACGAGGGTGCTGGTTCTTCTTGGACGTACCTGGCCAAAGCACAGCCTGCGAACAGCCGGCAGCAGGCGCTTCTGGTTATGGCAGCTCAGAAATGAAAGCAGCAGCCACGCCTCTGAGAGCTGCAGGCAGAGCTGTGCCCAGCAAATAAGAAAAATAAGAACTAGTCCTGGACTCAGAGGAGGAGGAGCGCGGAGCATCTCTCTCCTGCTCCTTGGCGTCCTTTACATGAGGACTCCCTGCCCTCTGGGTGGTGAATCTGCAGAACCTTCCTCTGTGTTCTGACCCCCTGCTGACATCACTAACCTGTGACAGAAACATCCCCACCCGGTACCTGCTCCTCCTGCGGCTCCCAGCCCAGCCTGGAGCCTCTTTGTATGCCGCGGACATGGCCAGCCAGCAGGACTCTGGCTTCTTTGAGATCAGCATCAAATATTTACTAAAATCCTGGAGTAATAGTGAGTAACAGAAAATAATATTTGCTTGTTTGTCTGTCTGTTTGTTGGCTGGCTGTTGTATAAGATTGGATAAATAAAATCTCAACTGGATGCATATGCTTGTGAGCCCAGGAAGTTTTTTTGCTTTCTCTGCTATGAAAATAAAAATGTCAGTGATGGAAACAGGTCTCCTTAGATGTAGAGGCTGCAGTGGAATTACAGTGGGTTTTGTTTGATTATATTTTCAAGTGCGATGGCCCTTCCAATCTGGCAGAGCTCACGATAGGGCATTCAGGCTGCATTTCCTGTCTTGCTGGGCGTTTGGTATTTATTTGATTTGCTCAATACTCTGTGAACTGTGGTTTAGCCAGAGGGGTGTATTAGGGTTTCAGAGTACTTCCTAATTATTTTATTAGGGTATTGTCTAAAGACTAAAAGTACTTTATAGTCCAAAACCTGAGATTCATCTTTTTTTGTACACAGATGCATTTGCACCCTTATTTGATCTGTCCCTTGTCTGTGTGGATGATACTCAGGATGGTATTTAATATTTGAATTTTTATTCTTTATGTTTGTTCTAGTCCAAATAATGTACTTTTCTAAAATATAAATAGGCAAGGTTCTGAATATCAGGATATCAGAATATTCTGGCTTCCGAAGTGCCATCTCTGACCTACTTAAAGATTTGAGCACTAAAGTATTTCAAAAAGACAACCTTCATGGGTTCGTGGGTCTCGAATCAAATGAAAATGAGGCCTTCAGGGTGTCAGTGATGCCTTGTGTTTTTGGAACAGTTTAAAAACAGTCTTCCCTGTTTCATCAACAGGCTTTGTACTTGCTCTGGGTAACATTGTCAGGTATTATAGATCATTAATTGTTTGGATTCTTTTTAATTTCCAATAAATATTTTGATGTTATATTAGGTGCATACTAATTAACCTTCCTGTGTGCAAAGACTTGGCAAATAATTATCTCCACACAAATGACCTGTGGCCAACCAGGATTGTTCTGTAAACAAAACCTGGGCAGGAGAACCTGAGCCATAATTGCTTTGAGAAAACTGCCAAAATCTCTTCAGCTTCAAGGTATACAAAGATGTACATCTCTCAGTGATATTTTCAGAAACCATTTTTTAATGGTTGTTTTGCACCACTCTATATACTATGGAGCTTGTAGGAAGCTGCTTTCTATAAGTGGGAAGCCATTTAGGAGCAATACTGTCACCTAAATAGCATTCCTTTATCTGTTACAGCCATAACTCATTTATCGTGTGTGTAATCCATCCTACTTCTTTTGTTTCTCAACCCTTGAATTAATGAAAATAATTTTACATACAGGATTCTTTATAGAACAGTTTTCCAAACCCTGGAAAGGCCTCCTGTGCGTCTGACAACAGCCAGTGGTTTTCAATCTTTTTGTCTTCTCCAAGGCCAGATTTTTTTTTTTTTCTTTCATCAATTGTTGTCATTGCTTTATGAGAGAAAATTGTGCTCTGACTAAATATTGAGGCCAATGGGATTTCTATTAGAATCATTCTCTCCTTGTTTTTAAGTTACTCTGGACAGAGTATATTCCCTCAACCATTCCTAAGCTCTCCCCTCTCCCCCCACACTCACATCAGAAAATGGATCAGTTACTGTTCATTTATATTTGGAAAGTATCTAGGAAACAATTTTGAATTCTTTCAATTCACTCAGCAGCTATTTATTCAACACCTACTATGAGCCAGACTATGGGGCTATAAAGATGAATAAGACAGGTCCTTGCCCTTGATCTTAATGTCTTCACTGGAACTTGGTGTTCTCTAGCATTCCTTTGGGGCTCAGAATATTTTCAGTCCTGTCTTGAAAGAGAAAGAGTAAATATACTTTATGCTTAGTAGTCTTCTTTAAACTTGTTGCAACACTAACCTACTTATAATCTATATAGCTCCCTGGTTTACATATTTTTAGTAGCAAAGAGAGAAAGGAATTTGTCTGTATGAAAGACAAAGTAGAAAACAGAAGCCTTAGGGCTTTAAGCTATTCAGGGTAACCTGGCTGGGAGGATGTACACAAGAAAAGCCACTCACTTCTTGGTGCAGCATCACAAATTTGAGGGGGAAAACTGTGAGAAGAACCAGGCCCCCAATTATATAGCAATGGTTATTTATAAAAGCGCAACAATTAAAAAGCAATAAAACCAATTCTATAACTGGCTGGCTGCTTTGCGAGGTGGTAGTAAGAGATAAGATAATCCCATGAACTTTCCCAAGATTTCCATTTGTTTTTATTGTTGTTAACCCTCATCCAGGAAATGGTACATTGTGAGAAAAATGTAATTTTATATACTGAAGAATTAACAAGTCAATTAAGACACTCATTGCCTGGTGAGAAGTGTTAGGTTCCCCCTCCCTGCCCCCCCCCCCCCACTCATGTTGATACCCTCTTCTTCCTAGGCACGCCCACTCTGTCAAGCTGCCCTTTCCGTGTAATGGCATTGGGAATTAAAATGGCATTGCTGTTTGAGAATAAAATGTCCTTTGCAGCGCTCACTGCAGAGGCTTTCCTTATCCCCTTGGATACCTGTTCTATTGCTCCTTCCTCATTCTTATCCAGGCTTCCCCAGCTTTTCAGTGATTCTGCCAGCTACTGCCCCGTGGCAGTCAATCTAACCTGGAACACTCCAATGGTGACAAAGAGTATCCTGGAGAGGCTTCTACCAGCATTTCAAAGACTACACCACAGCTTCTTCTGCCCCTGAGTGTCTGTGATCATCATTCAGGACCTTCTCTGAACTCTTAGTCCATTCTCTCATGTTGCTTTTCTGCTCCTGCCATGTTTAATCTGTTTACCCGCCTCTGTATTTCACTATCTTGTTCTCCAGTCTATGCCCACACGCACATTGGCCCCAAGTTGGCATACCCTCACCTGGAACACGCAAGTCACAGGACCAAGTGGGCTTAGGTCTCTAGCCTGCACTTTGTGGACTGGGACAGTTATCTACTCTGCCTGGATGTTCTCAGCTATACAATGCAGGCAAATATAATGAGTAGCTCATAGGAGTAAATGAGATATTAAGATGTGAAGCACTCAGCACAATTTCTCGCACATTGATATTACTTTTACATATATTGAGCATTTACAATAGACTCCAATGTTTCCCTCTTCTCTAAACTCACTTAAAATCAGATTTAGGCCATATTTTTCTTAGCATTGACATCCTCAGGAATCATTCTGTGTGTAGTCAACACCACTGAAGAAGGGAACAGCATGAATGTAGATGAAATTAGTTGCTTGCTTTGGACCACTTTTCTTTCTAGATTTACCTTTTACTTTAATCCCTTTTCTACCTCAGCTACTATTGAAATTTTCCTACCTTCCCTAAGTACATACTTTCCAGCAGCATAGGGTGGCCTGGGCATTTTCTCAATATAGAAAGTCACCTTTGATTCTCAGGTTTGCTATTTAAAAAAAAAAAAAAAAAAAAAAGCTTGGAGCAGATAGTTCCAAACTACTTTCTGGAAAGGAGGAGTTGTTTGTGTTGATGGATAAAGCTGGTGGTAGGCTCTCCTGCTGATCTGAAAACTCTGAATGGCTGTCCTGATATTTGCATTCCCCCCGGCCCCCGCTCCTTCCCCATGTACAGTGAATACAAACCCAATGACAAAAGTACAGTCAGAATCCATTTAAACCTTAATTTTTCCAGGGTAGTTTGTGTCCTTCCTATAACGTTTAGTTCCATGGAAGGAAACTTTTGAATGCCTATTAACTCTTTCAAGTAATGAGTTATTTAATTTTATTGACAAACTCCCCTTTGTTTGTTTTTGGAAGGATCTGGTATGTATAGAATGTCTAATGTCTAATGTTGCTGTAGAAAAACATGTAACAATTTTCAGAATCGAATGCGGCATTTTTCAGGTAGTGAGTTAGATTATGGTGATAAGGATACTGTTCAGTCCAACATAGAAATGCCAGTTGGTATAGGGTTAGCTCTGGGGACAAAACATTATGTACAAGTTAGGATTGAAAACACCTCCAACTGGCTGCAGAGCAGTGCTTATGGTCCTGATTTATGTCAGCCGTGTACTCAGACATCAGGAGAAAAACTCCAGAAAAATCTCAAAATGTTCATTTTAACCTCTTTATAGAATTGGTTTAAATAAATAGAAAACTAAATAGGTTTAAGCAAGTTGCCTAAATCCAGCAGATCAGTACTTACCTCCCTCAGATCTTTCAACAGGAGAAGGTACCCAACACTGGCCTAGGAACTCGGAGAGTTAGTATTTCTGCAGCTGAGATCCCTTCTCTTAAAGCTGTTCATTGAGACAAAAAATTCCAAATAAGTATCCACTCTAAGTAGACAGGATCTATCCCTGGGTTTGTGATGGAGACAATCTAGAGGTGTGGTTGGTTGATTGGTTGGTTGTTTAAACATAGAAACAACCCTGGAATAAAATACTGCTACATTGACTGTGGGTCCTTTCTGTGTCAAATGTTATATCTGGGTAATTTATCTGTAGAGCAGCTGTATCATTATTTGTACAAACTGAGACACTTTTTAGAGTGCAAGTTAATAATAATGCTGAGTCACTAGGCATAAGCTGGGCTAGCTCTGGACAAAGGAGGCCATATGACTCCTCTGTTTATCACCTTCACTCTTTCCAATAATCCTGCAATTTATATGTATCATCCACGTTTTACAGATAAAAAAAGGAAAATGAGAGTTAAGAAAGTGATTTGCTCAGAGCCAGGATGCTAATAAGTGCCATGAACTCCAGCCCCCAATGCAGTTGATACTGTAATCTTATTTTTAAAATCACCCATACAATGATCAAAGGATGGAGAACACTTTGCGGAACTCAGTGCTTTATAGGTACTTTCATTCTTGATGTCTGATGCTCTGCTCATTCTTAACCTCCTCCCTCTCCAGGCACCCCTGAGGGACTCTCTTTCTCTCATCTCTCTCTCTCAACTAATATCTCTCTCTCTCTCTCTCTCTCTCTCTCTCTCTCTCTCTCTCTCTCTCTCTCTCTCTCTCCA